TGCCAAACACCTCCTTACTAGAGAGTCTATCCCAAATAAATCGAGATAATTGAGTACAGACACTACCCCAATTTTGTTAGGAATTTTCTCAAAAAATTCATTTTTCGCCACTCATTTTACTTCGTCCACAATAACTCCCACTCGAAATTTCACTTGACAATTTATTATCATGAAGATCAAGCTCACTTATTGCCCCTGCTTCTCTAATGACCCCCGGAAACTCATTATTATTACCCGAAGATTCCATCATGTTACCTAAAAAACCAATCTCTTCCAGAATAGTAGAAGAAAAACTGCTCATTATCAATTGGGATAAATTTGAAGCATCGGCAATTTGTACAATCCCACCGAAAACCATCCAGTACCATGCCGAAAAGTCCACTGTATAGCTTCTGATATGGAATTTTTGATATTTGCAAGAAATTTGAGCATTAATATAAACTCATAATCTAGCTATTCACATCTTTATGCATATTTCTGAAGAAAAATGCTAATTATGAATATAGAACAAAATCATTAACATAAAGAAAAATTACCAGAAAAAGAAAAGGGAAAAATACCCACACTTCCTTCAAACATACCTATAAGATTAATCTCTAAATTAATTGTGACTGTAGCAATCTCAATAATCAAGCATGAGTAGACAGAATCATTACAAGAAGCGAAATCCATATTAGCCATGGGATTTTATAGCTCCCAATTATCAACTCATCGCTAAAATCAAACATGATATTCTATATAATTATTATTATTACACCAAAAAAGAAAGAAAAAATGGACTTTCTGAAGCTAAGGTAAGATCGATAAACCTTGTAAGTAGCACACAGAGAGTAGTGGGATGGGTGGGTGGAAAAGGTTTGGGATTGAAGAGAAGAGGAGGAGGAAAAGAAAACTATTGTGGAAAAGGTCACTGAAATTTCACATAGCTGGATTTTTTTGACAGTTTTGAACGTAATTAATACGTTATTAAATGTTTTACTTAACTAATAGAGTATTAATCAAATTTGTTAATTTTTTAGGGTACCGAGTCTAATTTGCCCAATCAACTTTGTCATTTAGACCAAAAAAAGGGAAAATTAGGCCCTATACCTTTTTTTTAAAAGTGTTTTGATTAATACCCTTAAACTAATTAAATATTTTAAGAAGGTATTAAATACGTCCTAAACCACCTAATTAACTCCAACTAAAACCCAACCTCATTAACTACAACAAGCCCAAACCACGTAATCCCTCTTCCTCAGAAATATTTCATCTCCCATTCGTAGCCCCAAATCTCCAGAGACGTAGTTAAGAGCAAAATCCGAGCAAATGCAACTGTAAATCTCCCAATCCAGAGGTCTCATAGTCGCATATTTCTTTGCACTCGTCCGTCACTATTTGCTTATGTCTACACTCTGTGCTGCAGAATGCTTGTTCTCCCCTGCAAATCATGGATCAATATTATCTTC